AAGCCGCTTCGCACACATGGAGACATGCGGATTTAGCCCAGCTTTCCTGGGATGAGAGTGAGTGCACTCGTTTTCCTTGTTTGATGGTCCCTGATTTCTCTTGTACGCAGTACATGACGAAATGTGGCGTGTTGAATGCGAGTCGGCAATATCCTTCGCAAGAACCCTCTAACCCAGTTCTGTAGTGGCTTTATCACGGATCATCGGAGTTACTCCTGGGTTCATGCGTCCTCGTAAGTGACTCGCTCAAAAGATATGATAACACTAATACTCTATCTAGCGTTCGGGAGCTACAATGATCAAGTCCTTGACGCGTCTGGAATTCGCAACCAAAGCGTTGTAATCTGGGACTTTGAGTAAGCTCCAGTTCGGAAAATCCTAATCCCCGCACATTGATAGCCTATATGCCAGTTCTCATGACGGAGACGACAACCCGCCCTCCCCTGAGGAAATACTAGATGCGTGGAACCAGACGCTCTCTGCGAATCCAGACACGGTACTTGCACTACATCACGAGTTTAATGGTAGGGCTATGATCCAAAATATTCCCGCTAGAAGAGGATACTGACGTTACGTGAATTGTAACAGAGGGAACAGCGCAAGTGTCCAACTTGGTTTTTTTTTTCATCAACGCTCTGACACCATATCTCCTACCACTATAGCCATATTGTCCTTCCCCAGGTGGTACAGACGCTGAAGAACGCGGGATACAGCATGGTCACAGTCGCCGAATGTGTCGGAATGGAGCCATACCACAGCATCGGCGAACCCGGCACTCCCGATGTAAGTAATATAACAATTCTTCCTTACAACCACTGATGTCGCTCATCGCGGATATAGGGCGACTGGCATTGCTGAATCGAGCCTGTTCTGGAACACCTCTGAACCATTTTCTTTGCATATGGACAACGACACAGTTGGACTACAAGTATCTTGTCAAAGACTTTGATCGCCTCCGTATTCACTCTCTCCATTCTGTTTACGACGGACTAATGCGCCTTAGTTGGTAGTTGGGAGATTCGTTTATTACGAGAATTTTTTTACCTACATATATTTCAAGATCCGGAGCTCGAGGAGACTAAGTACTTTGTACATATCATAGCTCCGTGAAAGCTACATGGGTGATGTATGTGGCGGCGACGGGAGGCGACGGGGTTCTTGGCCTGGCGCTGAGCCGCTTCGAGTTCAGGGAAAACCTACTTGCTGAAACCTATTACTCCCTATCATAAGACTCAGTCGCAAAAACTCAGAGCTGTCAGTCTTCACGATGTGAATCTATACATAGAGTTGATTACCGATGAGCAAGGCGAGCCTGAAGGCACCTTCAACCGAAGGGAAATAACCCGTCCCTGCCAAGACACTAAGGTATACTGTCGCTGACATTGAGGCTAGACGTAGGGAGTTAGCTTAACCGTAAGTCATTGATGAAGAGTAGAATATAATAGTCTAGCAATCCTAGATTCTTTCTTGACCTCGTCTATCTTAAACTAAAGGTCAATTTCGAGGAAGTTATAAGCAAGCGCTCACCAAGCGCTCATGCCATTGGCGTGCCTGACCACGGCAGACACGGCACATCGCCAAAGTCCGACAGGTTCCGAGTCTGTCGACGTGACGACTCTCTTCCGTTCACCCATGTCTGGTTCCCGGTTAGACAGGCCCTTTCTTCAATCCGGCTTACCACTCCTTTGACGGCCTTTCAATAACGAATAAAACTTGTCTTGTCCCATCCCTGTTGCCCAACGACAGCTCGCTGACGTTCGCATAAGGTAATCTTATTTACTTCGCCACCGTATGTACTGAATCGAATTGCACCTGCATATCCAGACGTCAAGGAACAACATGCCAAGGAAATCTCGCTCATCAAAGCGGGGACATTTGCCCATGATCTAGCCAATGATTTGAGTTGAGACCTAATCCGGATGTCTCATCGCAATTGTTCGAGAACAAGCTGTACTAGTTATCCTACATGGGGCGCTAATATCTTCCCCGATCATATCTGCTATTTTGCCATTCAGCTGACCATACCCCTTGACGCTAGTGGTATATAAGGAGTGGTCCTCGCCCAGATCCCCTCGCACCTTAGCCTTTCGTGTGTCTTGCTTATTCACCACTTCCCCCTTCACTCAGCATGAAGTTCGCAGCGCCTCTCGTTCTCCTCACGCTCGGAGCAGGGACCATTGCTGCTCCTCACGAGAAACGTCAAATGGCTGAGGTTATCACCTCTTGCACGCAACCAAACACGGTTGCGCTCACCTTCGTGTGTACTATGGTACTTTCTTTGCCGTGACACGCTTTCTTACCACGAACTATCTTGTAGGACGACGGTCCCTGGAATTACATGTACGCCACTCACTACTCGCCTCGAATATCGCGTGCCTATGCTTACCCCTGCTCACAGTTACGACATCAGCAATACCTTGACGAATAATGGCGCGAAAGGAACATTCTTCTTCAGTGCGTGAATGTTCATATTCGTTTACATGCCTCGCATATGTATATCTCTCTTGCATCTAGATGGAGATAACTGTAAGGACTTCGCATTCATAATCGCGTCCGCATCATTACTCAACGCCAATACCCTCATAAGGGGGATGCATTTACGATCAGAACCACGCAGATGGTATTCGATACGTCTACAGTAAAGGTCACCAAGTGGCTTCACATACTTGGAGACACGCCAATCTCGCTACTCTCTCTTGGGATCAAGGTGTGCCATTTACCCTGGGATCCTTAGCTTGGCCCCGGTATTCTAACGGCTTTTTGTATATTATAGTGCATGATGAAATGTGGCGGGTCGAACGTAAGTCCTGCATCTATTTCCTTCTTCAATGGTACTCATTGGCTGTAGTGGCGCTCCAACGGATTGTTGGAGTCTCACCCGCGTTCATGAGACCTCCATATGGAAGCTACAACGACAATGTACGATGGGCATCTGCTGCTCGTGGGCAAACCATCGTAAACTGGGACTTTGAGTGAGCTCCCTTCCTGTCAACTATAGGCCTCAGTGGTTCAAACCAAACATAAGCTCGGGCGATTCAGCAGGCCAATCCGTCAGCCAACAGCTAAGCAATTACGACAACAAGATCTGGGGCGAACATCCGAACACAATTCTGGCTTTGAATCATGAAACATATGGTGTGTTATGCTCGGTTTACTACTCGTTGATTCTTTCGTGCTGACCCTACTTCCTTTAGCTTCGACTGCGTATGCCAACTTTCCCATCTTCGTTGACTGCGGTCACTTACTATTGATACTAGATATGATGTCCTTCCACAAGTTGTTCAGAAACTCAAGCAAGCCGGATACAGAATGGTCACTGTCGCCGAATGCCTCGGCCGACAACCGTACCAGAGCGTTGGTCAACCACAGACCCCCAATGTGAGTCTTGATCGTTCTCAATCTTTTACGGGAACTCATTCTTTCACAGGGAGACTGGCATTGTTGAGAGGCCTCTTAATCTAATCACGGACTAAATGGACTCACGATTTTACGGACGATCGCTCTTTTACGATCCAATGGGACTTTGGGTCATGGGTTTTTATTGGTAGTTATTATCACTATACTTACTATATTACCATTGATGGCTCCGTATCTCTGTTATCCCTAGTTTTGTAATAGCTCTCGAAATGTCAATATTTGAATCTTTTCGTCCACAGTCTAAATAAAACCGTCTATTTCCGAGTGGCGCAAAGTGGCATCAGGAATCTTATCAATACTACCTCAGTCGTACAGGTACAAAAGTTAAATAACAGCGGGTTACATAGGTTGTGACAGTGTACGTGGAGAGTCAGAACGAAGTATGCAAGAAACCCTATTCGTTCATAGTATCACTTCTGCCTTCACTTTGAGCCACGCAAGAGTAATAATACCTCTTACTGCTGCAACAATCCCTGTAGCGGTTGCCGCATCTGTATATCCAAGAACCGTGCCTCCGATAAATCCACCAAGCACCAAAAAGACAACTGGTAGACTCTTGCTGACAATACTACGGCGATCAGCGTTCATGAGTGTCACCCATGCCGTAGTCAGTACCACTGCAATCCATGTGTTAGCGTCCTGTCATTTGTTATCAGAATTATTACTGACAGGATGTTCCAAACACGGAGGGCCCCAGCAACTTGGCCTGAACACCTTGCAGACCGAGGGTGAATGCGATTAAGCACAGGGAGACATGAGCCGACATCATGTCACGGTGTGCGTCGACCAGCAGGCCCGCAGCGACTACGGTAAGCGCAGTCTGAAGTGCAGATGCCATGATCAATGACCGCCTTTTCGTTGGGTGGAAGTATCCACCAGCGTGGGCACCAAGGGCGAAGAACACCAGCGATGCAATGGTGACCTTGTCGGGTTCACTGAAAGCGTAGTCGAATCGTGACATGTCGGGGGGTATATTCTCCGATTTGGTGGTAAGCCGGGATAAGGCGAGAGAGAACTAGGTCGGAAATGAGTTGGAATCAAAGGCTGTGTGCACCTCACGAAGAAAACGCACCTGCAATGAGTTTCCAGTCTGGAAGCCAGCCCATACCGAGTGGGTAGCATAGGATATGGCGTCTCTGTACAAAACATATCAGCATAGCTGGAGGGTGATTCGCGGTGAAACATACGCACAGGAACCCTGTGACGATGCATAGTGTGGATAGAATCGGGATCATGTCGTTAGAGTTTCTGTCGACATATTCTTTCAGTTTGCGTTTGAACTTTCTAGTTGAGGAAGCTGAGGGGAGAAGAGGAGTATGTTCTCCAGGCATTTGTCGTTGTCGATGATGGTGGTCAAGGAACAGGAGCACTTCTTGAGGGCAGGTCAAGTCGCGCTCGCGAACTGATATATATACTCCATCCTGCTTCCCCGGCTGCGGATGACGGAAATCACATCAACTTTTCTTGGCCCCGAAGACAGGCGTCATACTGACAGCCAACTGGCGATAAGAATATTCATGATCATCGAAAACCAATTTCGGAATACGACGATACTGATAAAAACGTTTATAAAACGTTGTTGTACACCGTTGGTGAAGTGGTTATCATGCTTGCCTTCCATTTGTCAGTTAGCAAGCGGCTCGGGTTCGATTCCCGAACGGTGTATTTTTCGCAGTGAACTATTCGTTTTCATGTTTGCGGTTATCGACTACTTCGTTGAGAACTTCACCCTCCCTTTTTCCTCTGGAACTGTTCCACAGGTCGCTTGGATGACGCAGGCCATGATGCATGATGCATGAACATACAATAGGATTTGTGGGCCTGCTTACGGAAGCTCCTCTCCCTGATTCCACCCCACGATCATTCACAGCTGACAAAGTTTCTATGGATGGAAGGGTTATTTAGGACGGAAAATACGCTTTCGGTATAGGATTACGAGTATGGGTGTGCCTCTACTCCTCGTTCTCTGTTTTCTCGTGCTCAAAATATCGCAGGTAGTACCGTACTTAGACGATAGCTATGAATAGGATCTTGGAGCGTCAAAACTGCGTCGAACGACCACGATTCATGAAGCTGGCCTGGATGCATCATGGTGAACAGCTGCATGACGTCTGTTACACCTGTGGGGCAACTTGATGACCTGACCAGCGTTGTCAATGTTATCATTCGTGGAACGCCTCATTGTCACCTCGCTAATCTTGAAAGTTTAGATTGCTAGCTGGGTAACACGTTCCCTGCATCATGCATATCGCTTGATTCGCCTGGCCTTTGTGCTCTATGCCCTCTCCCTGTCATGCTAGTGCACAGCCATAGAATAGCTGAAGCTGAATGTCTAACCAGCGGACGCGGCTCGTAGCAGTTATCTCCACAACTAGCAAGTTGCTTGTTCGACCCTTCCACACATCAAACGTGAAACATAACAAAGCATATGAGTACCATGTATGGCGAAGGGCGCACTACTTCCAGGCTAGGAGCCAGCGAGGGTAACCGAGATACAACGAGGTGAGTGCTGTCCGAAGGCTTTTGATCTACCCTTGCTCAGGATTCATGCAGCTCAATCAATACGGTCACAGCCAGATTATCCATCCAATGCTGTTTCACTTGGTTCTTTCGTGTACCACGCGTTTGTGTCCGTAGAAGGCGGAAAAGTAGCCCCGAGGCTGGGTCTGCGGATTTTTATCACCGACGGCTCTGTCAGGAATGATTCTATAGCGGATGCCGTTCCTATACTCACGTTGTGTGTACCTCTTCCAATCCCGATGGTGGTCTTGAGCGCCAGCCAGTGGGCCAGCGGGCAAATGAGCGGTGTCCATCCTGTTCAATCCAATAGCTGTGACAAACCTCGACGTTGTCAGCAAGGCCGGCGCTCCGGGCAAAGAAAAACTGTCAGACCTTTCATGACAGCATCCAGCATTGCGAATAATCTTTTCCAAGGTGCATAAATGTTGAGCAGGTCCCGTTCTTCCGTCTTGCGGCCGACTCTACCTTCTGCCATGACTGAAACACGTACAACGGATCACGGCCAATGTTCATCTTCAGACTCGGAGGTCTTCTAGTGGTCTTCTTCGTCCGACAAATGGAATGCTCATTTCGGGCTGACTTGGATTTGAATGCAGGCGCTGTGCAGTTGGCTTCTTGTGGGCTACAACTCTGCTCGCATTGCAACGCGCTCACATTTCCTCTACGCTAGTAGAACAGCGCGTGGACCGGCCACAAATCCGCGACGAGACCGATGCGGGGTTTCTTGTCCGTTTGTGATGTCGATCAAAGCGATGCAACGTTGCCCAAGGAATAACCTTTAGGGCGATCCCCATGGGAGAGATCTGCCTTAGGGTCTAGTATCTGGATTAGTAGTATCAGTAGTATCAGTAGGGCTCTATCGTTCCTTGCTACAGCGTCTGTTCCCAGCACGCCATCATCAAGCATTGATCAGTTGGATTGAATAGACGCAGATTCGAACCCACCGAGGCATCGATTTGTTGAAACGTGAAAGCACGAGGACTGATGCCGAATTTCCCATCCCACGCAACTGCCGTGATATTCTCCCGGCAAACGAAATTTTATTACGGGGTCTCGATCGGGCGAGCAACGCGTCTTTTATAAATAGCCATGCTTTTCCTCTCTGACCCCATCCCATCTCTTTCCTGTCATTCTTTTTCTCCCTTTTTTCCCTTGTCGAAATGAAGTTCTCCGCCCTCGCCACTGTTGCTGCTCTCTCACTCGGAGCTCTCGCCGCTCCACACAATTCAAAGAGACAGGAGTGGGCATCTGTCTACACATCATGTTCCGCACCCAACACTATCGCGTTGACTTTCGATGACGGACCATACATGTACATGGACGAACTCGTCAAGACTTTGACAGATGCTGGTGGAAAAGGCACTTTCTTCGTCAGTACGTGTCGCTTCTGTTCCGTCCGCCACAAGTTCCGTTTTTTTTTGACACTGTTTCGTTGTAAAGATGGCCAGAACTGGGACTGCATCTACAACTATCAAGATCAGCTTAAGCGTGCATACGCTGCTGGTATGCAAATTGCCTCTCACACTTGGTCCCACAAGCACCTTCCTGAACTCAACTGGGATCAACGTGAGTCAAAAACTTTTGGTTTTCATCTTTCATACTGAAGATATTACTATGTAGTTCATGATGAAATGTGGAGAGTTGAACGTAGGTTTCAATCTGTTTGTGGAGTTGAGAATGTCATCTAATGACGCTTATAGTGGCTCTCGAGAGGATTCTCGGTGTTACGCCTGCTATGGTGCGACCTCGTACGTATCATGACTTTCGAAACTCGCTACACGAGCTAACTCTGGGTTTCCAGCTTATGGCGAATACAACGACCTCGTTCGCCAAGTTGCCGGTGTTCGCGGACAAGCCATTGTCAACTGGGACTTTGAGTACGTCTCTATTTGTGCTAACTAAATGTCTTCTGACGTATTACCAGCGTCCAAGATGCCACCGGCGACGCCAACCGCGGCTCTGGCGATATGCGCAGCGACTATGGACACTTGATGTGGGATATCAGACCTGATAACATCCTCGCTCTCAACCACGAAGTCAAAGAGGGTACAGTGTAAGTACTGGATTTGTATTCAGAGATCGTTACTGATAATCATCTACAACAGTCGCGAGGTTATCCCTCAAGTTGTTCAATGGGCAAATGAGCGCGGCTACAAGATGGTCACCGTCGCCGAATGCTTGGGTCTGCAAGCCTATCAGAAGGTTGCCGAGCCTCAACAAAACGATGTACGTATCTCGCTAAGCTCGTCTTAGCAGAACGCTAAATAAACCTTGCCGTTTCTAGGGAAGCTGGACCTGCTAAACTCGTCACGTTTCGGACATTACTACCACACGGACATTCTCAGTAGACACATATCTACGACCACAGTCATTGTCACCTACCCTTGTCGCTCTCTTCCCCGTATTATTGAACAGTTTAATCTCTAGATAGGATAGGGTTACTTATTCCTATTTACGCGTGGACTTTAATGGTATTAGCACCTTTCCGTAGAAGTGTATACGAAGTAATGCTTCGATGCGAACAGGTTCAAGATACAGTTTCACGATAAGTATGTCAGAAACGGTGGAATGAACCATGCAGTCCAATTCTCCTAAATGTCAATACTAGGCAGAAACCGAATACTCCAGCGCCGAACGTTCAATATTTTTTCGATCTAGAGCCGAATGTTGTTCTAGTTCTGCGTTGTTTTATCACGCCTTGGGTAAGTGAGAGACCGAAAGGGTCTATCCCGTCGTGATTCCGAAGCAAAATGTCATAATCGCAAGCATTGAAAGGCGGAAGAGAAGCGAAGTCATTCTATTCGCCGAAGTAAACATTAGGAAATCATCGTGATGGCGTCCAAGGTAAGGTAACTAAAGTCCGCATCGGAAAATTCATGTTGACATATCAGGTCTTCCAGAAAACTTCGTAATTTGAAGTTGGTCCATGAAATGATGTCCGAGCAAAGAAATCGGCAGTTAAAAATTCAAGGCGTTAGCACTTCCAGCTTCCCTGAAAGATCGAACTCGCATCAATCAACCGATACAAAACCCAAAGGAGCCGCACTTACATCGTTTTGCTGGGGCTGGCCAACGTTCTGATATGGTTGCATGCCGAGGCATTCAGCAACAGTGACCATCCTGTATCCCCGTTGATTCAACCACTGGACAACTTGAGGAAGAACAGTGTGGCTATGAAAGAACGTTGAGCATGAAATGGCTCGAGGACAGGGAAACTGGCTACTTACGCAGTCTCATCATTAAACTCGTGGTTCAGGGCAAGGATCGTATTCGGTCGAATATCCCAAATCAAGTGACCGTATGCGCTGAGCCTGTCAGATGCTGATGGAGGAACATCGTCACCATCATGTGAGCTGGAATAAATTGGCATGTGAGAGATGGTTTAGAACGGAGCACCAAGAAACGTACTCAAAGTCCCAGTTGACGAGACTTTGACCACGAACAGCAGCGACTTGTCGGACGAGATCATTATATGACCCAAAGGCTTGAGAGTTGAACCGGTAAGTTGCGAATGTAATGAAGACATATATGTTCATACTCACGAGGTCGCATGAAAGCGGGAGTGACACCGACAATACGTTGGAGAGCCTCTAAGCGAAAATGAGCATTTTAAGATTGCGTACCAGGTGAAAATTTGAGCTTACGTTCAACCTTCCACATCTGGTCATGAACTGAAGACAGAATAGTGAATACTTGAACACGTATAACGAAAGAACGACGACTAACGAGTATCCCAGCTCAAAGTCGCGAGATCCCAATGAGACCAGGTGTGTGAAGCAACCTGGTGTCCTTGGTTGTAGGCGTACTTGACCTGATCTTGCATATCATAGATGCAGGCCCAGTTGTTGCCATCTAAAATCCACTTGGTCAAAAGTCTGTTCCGAAGCAGAGAAACAGGAGAGACGATATGTACTGAAGAAGAACGTCCCCTTTCCACCAGCCCTCGTCAAGGTATCGCTGATTTCATGCATGTTCCACCATGGGCCGTCATCGAAGGTGAGAGCGACAGTATTGGGCTGAGTGCATTGTGTATAGACAGAGGCCCGTTGACGCTTTTCATTGTGAGGAGCCGCGAAGGCGAGTGCACCCACAGAGAGGGCAATCAAAGCAGCAGTGAATCTCATCGTGAAAGTAGGGAAAGACGC